ATATTTATTGACCTAAAAAAGGCATTTGACACAATCAATCATGAATTATTAATGGACAAGTTAGAAAAATATGGGATCAGGGGAATGGCTCTGCAATGGATTAGAAGTTATTTGACACAGAGGCGTCAATTTGTGAAGTTGGGGGATTACCAATCGAGTGAGCTGGATATTGTATGTGGAGTGCCTCAGGGTTCTGTTTTGGGACCTAAATTATTTATATTATACATTAGTGATATATGCAAGGTTTCTGATTTAGTGAAAGTGGTTTTGTTTGCTGATGACACTACCATATGGGCATCGGGGGAAAACCTACAGCAACTCTCTGGGTGGGTTTCACAGGAACTTGAGAAGATAAAGAAATTGTGTGATAGTAATATACTATCTCTGAATTTGGATAAAACTAAATTTATGGTATTTGGGAATTGTAGACTAGATAATGAACTTCAATTGAAAATTGGGGGAGCTAATATAGAACGAGTATATGAAATTAAATTTCTAGGTGTCATAGTTGATGACAAATTCTCCTGGAAATCTCATATCAGATATGTTCAGCACAAAATAGCAAAAAATATATCGATATTGGCAAGGGTTAGATATATTTTGGACGGGAAAGCACTACGTATTTTGTATTCTTCATTGATTTTACCATACTTAGAGTATGGCGTTGAAAACTGTGGAAATACATACAAAAGCTCACTTCAACCATTGTATATATTACAAAAAAGAGCGATAAGAATTGTGCATAAGATGGGGTATAGGGATCACACCAATGTAGCTTTCATACAGTCTAAATTGTTAAAATTTTTTGATTTAGTGGGATATAAGACTGCTGTGTTTATGTATAAAGCCAGGAACAATTTATTACCTGGTGGAATTCAAAAACTATTTAATGAAAGGGAAGGGGGATACAATTTAAGGGGTCAGTTAAATTTAAAAATTCATGCTATACGTACAACAGTAAACAGTTTATAACCTTCTTCTTGTAGCCACTGGTGGGGTCCCTCTTCAGGGCATCATCCCTGGAGGTGTCACTGAAGAGGTTAGAAACTCTGGTCTGATAGTCTGCTGAGGTAAGGACTACCATACATCTGCCTTTGTCTGCCGAAAGGATTGTGATGGTTTTATCATATGTAATCACTGGCCTCTCTTCCTCCTTTTTCTCTCTCATTCCTGTGGGATTGGCACCTCAGCTCTGTCGCATTCGGTAATCAGTGACTCGTTGGTTGTAGCGCACAGCTGAGGCGAATTCCTGTGATTACCTACTTCCTTATTTATACTTCTGGCTGACGCTCTGTCGCCGCCGGAGCATTACTTGATGACACTTACATGTACTACTTGTAAGTAAATGCGTGTATACAGTCGTTACACGAGTTTACTTTCACTGCTGACAGTCCATGCGGTTGATTATTTTTTAGTACGTTGTATACTCGTGTTTAAAGATACGCAACTTGATTTCAACACTGATAGTTCCTGTGCTGTTGAATTCTTGTTTTCTTTTCCGTATGCTACTCTGCTTCCCTAACGGCGTAGCTTATCCACCTGGTTACTGCCTTTTCATCTGTCTGTCCTGGTCCTCTGACTCTCCTGGTTCCTTCCATTATTCAGTCTACTCACCTGTTTGTCCTGGTCTTCTTAGCCATCACTGCCCTACCCTGTTTTTGTACCATAAATTGATTCAGTTACTTTGTGTTCTCCAGTAAACCTCCTTTTTCCACTGGCACCTGGGTCAGCATCTTGAGTCCTCCTCAGTTCTCCCTCATCCCCTGGTGAGGGGGACATAAACATAACACATTTGAAGTTCGTGTTTGGCTGTAGGATGTATAGTTTACTAAAAGCATAACATGCCCCCTTTTAAGAGCCATATTTTTTGTCATTTGTTGATTCTCATCAGTTATTGGGAAGCAGGTACACCTTTTTTTTTAAACTGTAATTTTACTGTTATTGGGAGTTATTTAAGGGAAAGGGCTCCATGGGGAACAGAAGAAATTACTGCTTTATGATAATATCAGTTTCCTGTGGAAGGAAATATGAGCAGAAATCTTTAAGAGACCGAGAGGATCCACACAGATCTCCAGGGCCACTTCTCAACCATTTCTGGACAGCCAAGACACACTACATGTGCTCACTGCTCTGCTCAGCTTGTTTCTTCATGCAATCCCTGGTGAGTATTACAGTCTAACTGTGTTACAACATGTGTAGGTGCATCTGTGTGTATGTGTACTAATCTGATCAAATGTCTAAACAGGTATCAAAACCAAAGATCACAGTATGATACAATATGGCCAATGAAAGCAGTGCACAGTATAGCCTACTCTGCAGAGTGATGTACTACTGTATATTCTCTACTGCTATTTTATAGTGTCCATACTACATACTTTATACTACAAATAAAATATGGATAGGTCAAATGGCAAAATAGCCTATATAAGCATATACTGTACATGAGTATTAAAAAGTAACTGAACCTCAAAACTACTTTTTAGCTGAAACCTAATGCATATGGGTATTTGCTTTTGTTGTTGATTGATTCAGGTCCACATCTTGACATTTTAGTGCAAAGTATTTGAATTCCGCATATTCACTTATAAAAAAGGGACTGCCCTCTATTGGTTGCTACTGCAATTGAATTTTATCATCAGACGATGAACCCCGCCCCCACTCTTCCTCGCCCATCTCCTGACCCCCCCACCTCTAAAAAAGTTACATCTTTTCCTGCCAGTACCGTCAGACTGCGAAGAGTCAGGTGTTAGAAATGCATGGATTGAGTATAGCAATAGAGTAGTTAGACCGGTAGCATAGATTATTGTTCTTGATTAATGATTATTGTTATATGGAAAGAAACAGCTTTTAGCAAAGTTAGCTTGCACTGCTAAAGTTAGGCTACCTTGGTAGGGTGCTGACACGTTACTTTGGAATCTCTTTTTTTCAGCTTGTAGAAATGCACTTCTGTGTCTACAGACTTTTAGATGTAAAATCTGTCCTGAGGTAATGATCATGTCAGTTTTGTTGCTGCCTGAACAGTTGTAGCCTACTATAAGTGTGAGTTTATCCTCCTCCTTCTCTCTCCTGTTGCTGTTTTGGCAACTGGCTGCTGTTATTTGTTTGTGTTTGCCCAGAGTCAGTTCCGCTGGGCCGCCTTTCCTCCACCATGTCACGACGAAACGTCTAACCAAGAGCAAACAAGAGGCCTCACGGGGGTCTGTGTGTGTGAGAGAGAGGTTATGTCTTTAATGGTGTGTGTTTTGTGTGTGTGTGTGTGTGTGTGTGTGTGTGTGGTTGTTTTAGAACAGGTTCCCCAGAGTCAGAGTGAAGAGCTTAGTGCATTAAAAGTAGTGTGTGGCAGGTAAATAAATACACACACACAAGGCCATGTCTACAAACTAGTCGGGTGAAACCAAATCAAGGGGAGGAATGGGGAGGGTGTGTGTATGTTGGTGGATTTAGTTTTAACCAGACAGTTAGTTGCATGAGTTCATACTAACAGAACATACTCTCAGGCTCTGACTTGGGATGGTACAGTGTAACTGAAGGTAATTAGAGTCCAGTCTTTCATTTAATAATATTCTAACATAATTTCCCAGCACTCTAAAACATTAACCAGTTGACACATTGGCATCTGTATCTGTAGCTGGTTTGGAAGGATTGGTAAGTTTGACCTTATGTTGAGAATTCTTTTTTTCCCCAAAACTCTTGTGATTATTCTAAGCATGAAAAATACCTGTGTTTACAATGTTTTCCAGCAACTCAATGGCTTGTGTAGAACAAAGACAGATGACCATGTTTGGGGATTGCTTCCAGCTTCTCTTATGCTAGGCAATAAAAGCAATGTGTGAGAAGTGAATGTATTGTATACCATTATCTTGCTGGTGTCTTTATGTGGTCTTGGATATATATCACTGGTGGATCTGGCTAGATGCTAAGGACTAGCTATAACCCTGAAATGTGAACTTAATATTGGTGATAATAAATATAAAAACCAGGTTGCGTCAGGAAGGGCATCTGGCGTAAAACACGTGCCAAATGTCAACATGCGAGTCGTCAGTGTGACGATTCGCTGTGGCAACCTCAAACGGGAAAAGCCAGAAGTGACCTTCTTTCTTTCTATAGAAAAAGTAAATCTTAAGAGCCTGGTCTCCAGCACCACGGACAGCGACATAGGAAAGTTCTTTTCCAGTGTGTGTGTATATTTACTCTTTACTGCAGATTTAGGATAAGTTCACACACACAAGATAGATACAAGCTTTCATCAAACTCGATTTGACAGTTCTAGGTGAAAGTTCACCCCTCCCTCCCCCAGCTTCCCTCCCCTCCCAGGTCAAAAGTTCACCCCCCTCAGGTTCCCATACCCCCTCCCTGCATCCTCACCGGGCACAGCTGTTCTCCCCCCTGTGATAGATGAATCTAAAAAATAAAGACAGGGTAATGATTAGGTTTGTAATGTTATATAGTGAGATGAATAAAACAAATGGTACATAAAAAATATAGTAGTGATTTGTATATTAAATAGAGTAAAAATAGGAGAAAGATTCTACTGGATATTTAGTTTCCTGGTGTGAAATATAATCCAACAAATAGTGCTGAGTTATTTATTAGGGTAATTCTGTAGGTGGCCAAACAGCGTTTGTTTGAGATAAATCAAAGCCTAGCATGTGTTTTCGTCACAGCGTGTTTTTGTAAGAGAGCTGCAAAAATAGGGTAAAACACTCACGCAGTCATTTACACCTCGCAGCTGTTCACTGCCCTCATAGACTCCCTTCTTTATAAACTGCTCTGCTTTTTGTAGGGTTATACCTCCGAAAAATCGTTTCCTTCAGCAAGCAGTCTGTAATAACGAAACAGAAAAATGGCTACATCATTCTCTCCTGTTGAAAAATTATACGGCGTTATAAGTAATGTACCAGTGATGCTGACTGAGGAATCCGAGTTGAGCCGGGCTCCGAAAAAACTTATGATGCAACTTTGCAGGATTCAAAAGCCTCCGAGCACTTTGCTTCGTGGTGAGTTGAAATTAGTTTCTGGATATTGTGGCTGTGTGTTTCATTACACAACCGGGAAACTCTCCCTGTATCGTCTGAAAGAGGGGGAGACTTTTTCACTGGACACAGTGAGGACCCAAATCACTGCGAATGATTGGGGCATCCTTAGATGTATAGTGATCGAGTATCTGATTGAAAGCTATCAAGATGCGAGTGATGATGATGATGAGGAAGGGAAGGAGAACCGAGACCCTGCAAATAAGAAAAGGAGATATCTTACCGAGCAGCCTGAAAACACCCATCACCAATTGACCAAAGTGTTTAAGCAGAGTGTGTGAACATGGAGAAAGTTTTGAGTGAAACGAACGCCTCCTGGGTGGGAGATTCTGTTTTAAAAATTGTGTATTTGCAAGAGGCTGAGAAGCTTTGGGCGGATGTTGAGGAGCAGGAGTAATAGCGGCTGATGCTGCTATCTGCATGGGTTTTTATCTTTTTTTTTTAAATCATTCTAAAGGCATTTATCCTTTTGCTGTGTGTAATGTTTAATTTCCTTATAAACTGTTAAAAACATTTTTGTGGGTTAGGAGTAATAACCAGTGTTATTTACATTTTATCCTTTGATGTGTGTAATGTTTAGTTTCCTTATAAATAGTTTTTTAAAAACATTGTGTGTTAAATAAAACTTGCCAAGTTTTCTCATGGGGTTAGGAGTTATAAACCATGTTATTTGCATTTATTCTTTTTTAAAAACAAAAAACATGTAATGGATTGCTGTGTGTTAAATAAAAGTTGCCAAGTTTTCTCAGGGGGTTAGGAGTAATGAACCGTGTTATTTGCATTTATTCTTTTTTAAAAACAAAAAAACATGTAATGGATTGCTGTGTGTAATGTTTTTGAATCTTGTGTGTATTAAATAAAGTTGCATCCTTTTTAAAAAACCTTTCATGAATGAAAATACACCCTATATAGTACACTGTAAAAAGAGAACAAGGGGTCCGAAAGGGTTATGCCTCCGGTAAAAAGATGCCTCCCAAACTGGAGACTTTAATGAAGAGAATTTACTACGATCTGGCTCACACTGGTAGCTATGGAGGAGTCCAGGCTTTACACAGAGCCTTAGAACAAGAGTCTGGCAAGAAAATAAGCCTTGTTCGTGTCAAACAGTTTTTAGCAAAGCAGGACGCTTACACTTTACACAAGCCTGTAAGGATTCATTTTCTGAGAAACAGTGTTTGTCTCTAGGCCTCTCAAACAATTTCAGGCCAATCTATGCAACATGCAAGCTATTTCCTCCTTTAATAACAGATATAGGTTTCTTCTCACCATGATCAGTGTTTTCTCTAAAAAAGCCGATGTGAGACCTATTAAAAATAAGAGCGCTAAAGAGGTGACAGACGCTTTTGCATCAATCCTAGCTGAGAGCAGTGTTCCTAAACTGATTCAAACGGATCTAGGAAAAGAATTTTATAAGTTGTTTAAGGCTCTGATGAAAAAAATAACATAGAACACTTTAGAACAGCCAACGAAGTTAAGGCTTTGGTCATTGAACGGTACAACAAAACTTTAAAGCATAAAATATATCGGTACTTTACGGGTAAAAACACCCTCAGGTATTTGGATGTGCTGCAGCCTATTGTACAGAGTTACAATAATAGCTATCATTCCAGCATTAAAATGGCAGCTGCTCATGTTACCTCTGAAAATGCTTTAGATGTGTTTCAGAACTTGTATGGCTCATTCCCTCTTCATCATAAAACCAAGTTAAAGATGAACTTTAAGGTTGGAGATTTGGTGAAGATCTCTAAATTAAGAGGTATTTTTGACAAAAAGTACAACTAAGTACAACAAAGTACAACAAAAATACAACAAAGCGGACCCCTATCGATTTGTAAGTTATTATGATAACCAGGCCGGGTCGGGCCTTTCTGCTTTTAATGGGCTGCAGATGCAGAACGGTAGGGCGATTGGAGCAGTCTTTTCAAAACTATTTTGTTTTGTAATGCCTTTGATGAAGAAAGGGTTCAACCTGGCTAAGCCACATTTATCCTCTGCAGCTAAAAACATAGCATCAGACGTGGTGAGCAAGGCCATTACTAAATTGACCTCTAAGCAAGGGCCTCACCCCGCTGATCAGGAGGGATCAGGTTTTATGGTTCTGGCCAGAAGACCTAGGAGACGCCCTCCAGGGGAACATTTACCACCCCTTAAAAGAAGAACACAGCCTCAAAAGAAGAACACGCTCGTGAGAGGAGGACATAAACTATGGAGCTCTGCGTTAAAGAGCATTGATATATTTTAAAAAACACTATGTCTTTCTTGCACTATAAATCAGCAGAATTTGTTTTATCTGAGTTGGATTTATTTTCCTGTCCTTTTTCACAGCTTAGTGTAGAAGAGAAACAATATGTAGAAATATCCCCGGTATTGTCCATAACGGAGAGAGGACCTATAGAATTTTACGTTGCGGCCGAGGGGGAAAAGTACATCGACCTGAATGAGACTGCTGTTTTTAAGGCTGAAAATAACCAACGCAGACGGCACGGATTTGGCCAATGATGCCCCTGTGGGGAGCATCAATTACCCTCTGAATACCATATTCAGCCAATGCGCTGTGACCTTGGGGGATCAATTAATTTCACAGTCAAGCGCCACTCATCCTTACAGGGCAATGATTGAAACTTTGCTGAACTATTCCCCAGAAACCTTAAAAAGTCAATTCAGCTCCAGCTTCTATCAAGATACCTCAGGAGCAATGGATTCTCTGGTTATTAACAACGGACCTAACAAAGGCCTTGTGGAGAGAGCAAAATTCAGCGCGGAATCAAAAGAATTCCACCTGCTCTGACCCCTGCACGCAGATATTTTTTTCTGCGAGAGACTGCTGTTAAACTCTGTAGATCTGAAGATTAAGCTCACAAGAGCCAGCGATTCTTTTTGTCTTATGCATCCCGTTAACGCTGATTACCGTCTGCATATTTTGGGAGCTTCGCTGTTTGTTAAAAAAGTGACTATATCACCTGCTGTACGCATAGGTCATTCTTCAGCCTTGACTAGAGGCAACGCGCTGTACCCCATTTCACATGTAAACGTGAAAACTTTCTCCATCCCCGCCAATTCCAGGATCTGCAACCAAGAAAATCTCTTTCTAGGTGCTCTACCGCAGTATGTGGCATTAGCTATGGTAAACCATGAGGCTTTT